TCTCTTGTTGGGAGTGTAATTTTCAATAAATGTCTTTGCTTGGGTTGGAGATGGCTTGAGTCTGTGAATTCTTTCAAGATGACCCTACAACACACACCTTGAAACCACAACACTATGATATGATGTGGGTTTACCTGAGGATTAACCCAGTTAAGTATAGGAAGTCATCTCTAGAAAGCTGGAAACTAACTGATGAACTTGTTAGCTATGGAAGATATGAAACAATTATAGCTGGCATTTTCAAAGACTTTTAGGATTTGCAAGGCAAACATCTCACTTGATATACAGTCTTATTTGATCCTCACAACAACCTTGAGAGGTAAGGGTGAAGTATTAGTTCTGTATTTGCTCTGTTTAGTCATGTCTGACTCTTTGTGACCCTTTGGACCATACTGTCCATGGTGTTTTCTTGGCAAAGATACTGAAGTGGTTTGCTATTTCCTTCTCCAATGGATTAAGGTGAAAAGAGGTTAAGTGATTTGCTCAGGGTCATACAGCTAGTAAGTGTCTGAGGCCGGATATGAACTCATCTTCCTGGCTTCAGACCCAGTGCTCTATCCACTGAACCCCTGCTACCTCCTAGGCAAACAGGCTAAGTGACTTGCCCAAGGTCACACAGCTAGTAAGTGTGGGCAGCTAAATGGCCCAATGTTAGGCCTGGAGTCAGAAGGTTTGAGCTCAAATCCAGCCTCAGTCTTGTATTACAGATATGGAAATGGAGGGTGAGAGCAGTGTGACATAGTGGATAGGGCACTGGACTTGGAGTCAGGAAAACCTAGGCTCAAATCCTGCCTTAGACACTTGCTAGTTGTTGGCCCTGGGTGTCATGTAACAACTCTTCTCAGACTCAGTTTCCTCATCTGTAAAATGACTCAAATGGCCTTTGAGGTCCCTTCCAGTCTCTTTGTTCGAATGCCAAAAGTATGTTTGCCTAAAACACTGTTTTATGGAGAACTCATACGAGGCAGCTGCTCACATTGAGGTCAGAAGAAGCAATACAAGGACACTCTCAAGGTCTCTCTGAAGAACTTTGGAATTGATTGTGAGACATGGGAGACACTGATACAGGACCACCCAGCATGACCTACCTGCATAAAAGAAGGCCTTGTGCTCTTTGAGCAAAGTAGAATTTCAGTAGCTCAAAAGAAATGTGAGATGCATAAATTTAGAGACATCTCTACTCCAAATATTCATGTGGACTATTTGTGCCCAACGTGTGGTAGAGCCTTCCAAGCTCGTCTGGTCAGCTACAGTCGGAACGCTGCACCTTGATCCCCACAGAATGATATCATTTTGGTCTCTTCTTTGAGTAAGAAAGACAACAACCAATCTTAGGCATAATTTGAACTCAGGTCTTCCTGATTCAATTCAATAAAAATTTATTAAGCACCTACTATCTACTATGTGCCAAGCACTGTACTAATTGCTGAAGCCCAGCACTCAATCTACTGTACCTCCTAATTATTACGAAACAACTACAAAGTGTTAGTTCATTCTATTATTAACAGCAATAATATATTTTAGGAGCAACTGTGTGTATATGTGTGTATTTCTCTCTACCTCTTTGTTCTGAGTACGAAACATAAAGAGGAATTAAACCAACGTTCCAGTTGGAACTATAAGATTTGTTAGTTCTGCAAACTCTTCCAATGATAAAATTAAATGCATTCAATAATTCTTTTACTTTCTTTTATCCCATCCCACTTATCCATTACCCACCCCTTTTCCTCAAGTGTATTTCTCAATATCTTGCCTCTTGTCATTCATTCAGTTCATCCATCCATCCATCCATCCATCCATCCATCCATCATCCGTCCATCCACCCATCTATCCATCAAACATTAAGTTGTTATTCACAAACAGCCATCTAGGCACAAATCTCTCATTCACTAGATCCCTCTAAGTGCTTCCACCTCATCCCTGTCCAGATCAGCTAACTCTCCCCAGACTCATTCCATTTCCCCCTCACTCCTCTACTTTCCATTGTGAACAAACTCCCTTACGTCCTTCACCTTTCTCATGAGAGCTCCTTGTACCTGCTTGCCACTGTTTCTCAACTCCTAAGACTACCTTTGAAACTCCCTCTAGTAGAAGTCTCTTCTTCCCACTTCTCCCAACTTACAGGTCCAGGCTGAGGGATCAACGTATTTGTCACTCCCCACTGCCACTTCAGACTCATGTTCTGCGCTCATCTCTCTACAATCTCTCCTCTTTTGCAATTTACATTATCCATTAAAAATCCTCACTTGATCATACTTCTAGAAGTAAAATAAGTATTGGGGAGGGGGGGGAAGGTCCCCAAAAATCTAATTCCCAAATTGAGGGCCAAAGTCAATAACTGAAGCCCCATAGTCCTTGTTTGAACTTCTCTCATGATATTTTCATAACTATACATTTTATTATTATTACATTTATTATATATGTATATCATATTACATATAACATTATTACTTTTTTTACATTCTCAGACAGTAAGCTGCTTGAGCATAGCAATAATATCTAATCAAGCTTTGTCAGTAGCAGAATGGTGTGTAACTGGTAATTTCTAAATAAATTCTTATTAAATAAATAAGTGAATTAAAAGTATTAATAAATAAAGCAAATCAATTAATCAGCTTTGAGCTAGGGGAGAGAGATGGGAAGTGTAGTTTCACACACTTTTAAAAAATTTTTTAAGGCAATTGGGGTTAAGTGACTTGCCCATGGTCACACAGCTAATGTCAAATGTCTGAGGCTGTATTTGAACTCAGGTCCTTCTTACTCCAGAGCCAGTGCTCTATCCACTGTGCCACCTAGCTGCCTCTTTTTTATATACTTCTGAGAGGCTTATTATAGGAATTTAGGAAATTTTATGATCTAACAAGCTATGCAATATTCTAATTAATTTTCATCAGTGTTTCTGTTAAAAGCTAAATTGTTATAATGCCAAGCTGTACTGTCCTATAATTTCCCCAATTTTATACAAAACTGAATAGGAATTTACCAACTCAATGATACGTAAATAATGGCATGCTTGTAAACGTCTAATAACCAGCTCTCTGGGGGGGGAGGGAAATGACATACCTTGAAGTTTAATCTGCTCTGATAACATTTTCTCCATCAATTTCTTAAGACTAGGCAAGGAACAAAACATTAAATCAAGCCCTAATTTATAGCATTTATCAATTTTCAATGTGTAAATGTTCACAATGAAAACTTAACAGTATGCTATTTCATTGTGTATAAAATGCATGTGTATTTACAGAGTACTTATAGCAGTATTCCTGAAAAGCAGATAGCTAGGTAGCACAGTGAATAGAACACCAGGCCTGGAGTCAGGAAAACTCCTCTTCCTGAGTTCAAATATAGCCTCAGACACTTCCTAGCTTTGTGAACCTGGGCAAGTCACTTAACCCTTCTTGCCTCAGTTTCCTCATCTGTGAAATAGGCTGGAGAAGGAAATGGCAAACCCCTCCAGAATCTTTGCCAAGAAAACCACAAATGGGGTCATGTAGAGTCAGACATGACTGAACAAGAAGAACAGTAAACTGAGGCGGGGTAGGGGGGCGCAGGGTTAGTAGCTTGTCACATGAGTGTGGATTCCATCCCAAGTCTTCTGACTCCAAATTCAGTATTCTTTCCACCACAAACGCTGGCCATCTGGCCACCTGGTACCAGACCAATATGTTTTGATCAAAGCAGTTTATTCAGACATGTAAAGGGATTGTTATTGTTTGTTGTTGTTCAGTCACATCTGACTCTTTGTGACCTCACTGAAAAGTATATACAAAGCCTTTTGTTGCATGCTGAAGTAGAATTGCCTTGTTGTTCAGTTGTTTTTCCATTGTGTCTGACTCTTACATGACCCCATTTGGGGGTTTTCTTGGCAAAGATACTGCAGTGGTTTGCCATTCCCTTCTCATTTTACAGATGAGGAAACTGAGACAAATAAGGTTAAGTGACTTGCCCAGGGTCACACTGCGCAGAAGTGTCTGAGGCCAGATTTGAACTCAGAAAGATGACTTTTACTAGCTAGCAAAACTGTCTGAACTCACATTTGAACTCAGGAGGGGAGGCCTTCTGACTCCCAGCCCAGTGTTCTATCCACCACACCATCTAGCTGCCCAGTTTCCTCATTTATAAAATGAAAGGATTCTATTAAATAAATGACCTTTGAGGTCCCAGGTCCTCTTGTCCATATCTTGGCTTTCTTAAGTGCTCCCTAGGTAACCTTGGGCAAGGTACTTGTGGTGAAATGAGTTTCCTTATCTGGTTACATGTGTTTCTTCCATTGAAAAAATGAAACATTTAGACTAGATGATTTGTAAAGCTTTTTCCAACTCTAAATCCTACAATCCTAATCCTTAAAAGACTTTTTTTTCCTGGACTTGAAATTTGCCCTATTTCTGGAGAAGTTTCTGAGGCAAGAGAAATAGTCTAACTCTGTGGAGATTGGTACTCAAAAGCCTTTCCCAAATAGTATTTGTTCAGTTGAATGTAAGCCCCTCGAGGACAGGGACTATTTAGGTTTTTTATTCTTTGTATCCTCAGGATCTAGCACATGTGTTAGCGACTAACACATAACAGACACTTAATGTTTAATAATAAATGTTGGTAGGACCTGCCGCAGCTTCTGTTCCAGCCTTTCAGAACCAGGCTCACCCACTGCACTGATTACTCATCCCCACCTTAACAGATAATAAAACCAATGCTCAAGAGAGGTGAAAGGTTGCCCCAAGTTACCACACTTATAAATAAGGGTAAAGGGCAGGACCCCAACCGCAACCCACACATTATGATGGCCAGTCCTAAAATTCTCTAGGCTGGTACTGCATACTTGGCGGGGGAGGAGTCCTAAATCACACGACCCCACCCCATTCTCCAGAAGCCTTCGTCGCCCCCAAGAGGCTAGACCTATCACCCCCACCACCAAGCCCACCCCTGCCTCGCACAGAACTCCATCCTCCACTCCCCTTCCCCCAACCTCGCCAGTCCGTAACCCTCCTCCTCGCCCCGCGCACCGGCCAATCAGATCCTCGCACACGCTCCCGCCGGAAGCCGGGTACTCATTCACGCCCGGGCTCGGGCACTATATAAAGGGCTGCAGGGGCCAGAGCGGTTAGTCGGCATTCTAGCATTTCCGTTCGCTTCAGGTGTTTGGCTGCGGGGACTCGGGAGGGAGCCCCGCGAGAAGGCTACCTGAGGCAGGCGCGGGGGTAGGGGAGGCAAGGCGCGAGGGAAGCGGTTCCCCGTCGGTTTTTAAACAAGTTTTCCTTTCTCTGCTTTTGGGTGTAGGTCGCCCACTGGCCGTTGAGCTTCGCGGCGCGTTTTTCCCGGGGACTTGGTCATCGGAGGACCCATCTCAGCACGTGTTCTACCCAGTGTCCAGGGACTGCCGGTGTCTGCGGAAGCCTTGGGGGGAGAAGCCAGCTTCCCAGTTCCGTGATTTCGCTTGTCGGCTGCCCGCGCTCCAGCCCTCTCTCTCCGCCGTCGCCTCCTTCTCCTGCTTCTCCTTCCTCGCCTCGTCTCCTTTGCTTCCTGCCTTCACCATGTGCTCTATGCCCGGCCTGCCCAGCCCTGGCGCCCCCATCACGCTGTGCGTCTCCTTCGTGGACGTGCACCCGGAGGTGATCCCCGTGCAGCTGTGGGGGCTGGTGGGCGACCGGCGGGAGGAGTACGTGCGATTGGGCCATGACATCCAGGTGGCTGCAGCAGCGGTGGCGGCCCAGACCCGGGCCATGCCGGCCGCCAACCCTGGCGAGCTGTGCCTCGTGCAGCTGGGGCCCCGCTGGCATCGCTGCCGGCATGGTCAGCCGCCAAGCGCAGGAGTGCCGGGTCTTCCTCCTGGACGAAGGTCGCACAGTCACGGCCAACTCGACAGCCCTGGCCCCGGGCCGCAATGAGTTCTTCCATCTGCCGTCAGAGGTGCTGAGCTGTGTACTGACTGGCCTGGTGCCGCTCGGGGGAGGTGGAGGCGGGGAGCCCCAGCAGTGGTCCCGCGGTGCAGTGGATTTCCTGGGCCACCTCCAGGGCAAGGAGGTACAGGGCCATGTGCAGGATGTGCTGCTTCCCCAGCACCTGGTGCTGCTGGAGGTGCCCACCGTGTTCCAGCAGATGCAGGACCTGGGCCTGGCTCGACAGGTGCCGGACAGCCTCTTTCGATCCCTGCTGAAGCGCTACATCAATGCACCGGGGGCCTCGGTGCTCCTCCCGCTGGCCGTGCCCAAGCAGGAGCCCCCACAGCTCTTGGATTACTTCTCCCCCAGCTGCAGCTGGGTGTCACGGAGTCCGTGGTGGTGACCCAGGTGTGCCATCCCCACCGCATCCACTGCCAGCTCCGCAGCCTTTCCCAGGAGATCCGCCGGCTGTCGGACAGCATGGCCTATGCCTATCGGGCAACAGGTACCGGGGATAAAAGTGGGAGAAGCAGCAGCTGGGAGGAGAGGGAGGAGAACCCTGACAAACCCGGCTCCCCGTGCGCTGCTTGTGGCCTGGATGGACAGTGGTACCGTGCGCAGCTGCTGGAGAATTTTCGACCCCAACGCTGTGCCCAAGTGCTGCATGTGGACTATGGGAGGAAGGAGCTAGTGAGCTGTGGTAGTTTGAGATATTTGCTTCCTGAATATTTTCGGATGCCAGTAGTTACTTATCCCTGTGCCTTGTATGGACTCTGGGATGGTGGGCGAGGTTGGTCTCGTTCCCAAGTAGGAGACCTCAAGGCCTTAATCTTAGGTCAGGCAATGAATGCCAAAATTGAATTTTATAGTTCCTTTGAACACCTTTATTATGTAACCTTATATGGAGAAGATGGGATTAATCTTAACTGTGCTTTTGGGGTCCAGTCCTGCTGTCTGGCGGACAGACTTCTCCAGAGCCCAGGCTTAGAAGAGGAAGGGAAGGAGCAGACTGAAGCTGAGGAAGGGTTGGAAGATGACCTGTCCCCCCCAGTCCTGAAAACTGTGTGCCTGAAGGCTAATTCTTTCTATGATGCACAGGTGGAATTTGTTAAAGATCCCTTCGAGTTTTGGATCAGATTGAGAAAACACAGTGGCCCCTTTGGCAAGTTAGTGAGGAGCATGTGTAACTTCTACTCATCGAGAAAGCTGGATGAGTTAGTCCTGCAACCTGTGCCTGACCATCTCTGCTGCGCCAAATGGAAAGAGCATGGGTATTATCGGGCTGTAGTCACTAGATTGGTGGGGAACAAAAGCGTGGAGGTGCATTTGGTAGATCGGGGCAATACAGAGACAGTGGGCTGCTGTGATGTAAAAATGCTGCTTCCCCAGTTCAGGCACCTCCCAGCAGTGGCATTGAAGTGCTGTCTGGCTGATATCTGGCCCTTGGGGGAATGCTGGAGCCGAGAAGCCATTTCCTATTTCAAAAAGACAGTGCTGCACAAGGAGTTGGTCATTCATGTTCTTGGTAAGCAGGATAGCCAGTATGTCATTGAAATTCTTGATGAATCAAGGATGGGGGAAGAAAATGTAAGCAAATTGATTGCCCAAGCTGGATATGCCAGATACCAAGAATTCGAGATGATGGAGATCAAGCCACCTGCTGATTTCCAGGGGCAAATTCCAAATCAACTAAGTGCTGATTGTAACAGAGTGTCTTCTGCCAGGAAAATTGGAGTAGGACAATGGGGAAAGAAAGATAACAAACTTCCAGTTTCAGAGGTTGTGACTAACAGAACGATTGTTACAAAAAGCTCTTTCAGCGAATCACTTGTGCAGTCAACAGAGAAAACTAGAAATATACCCATGTATTCTCCGCTAGTACAAAATTATTTGGAAATTAAGCCGGACTCTCCCTGTAAAGGTCAGTTGGAAGTTGGGAGCACAGTAGAAGTCAAAGTGTCTTATGTTGAAAGCCCTGGATATTTCTGGTGCCAACTAACCAGAAACCTTCAAGGTCTCCGATCCCTGATGTGTAAAATTCAAGATTTTTGCAAGAATTCTGCCACTGCATACCAGGGAATCAGTCCAGCTTGCTTGGCAAAGCGTACTATTAATGGGAAATGGTCCAGAGCTTTGATTATTAGTGGAACCCCTTCTGCTGACAAGGCCAAAGTAATATTTGTTGACTATGGAAATAAAGAGGTAGTCTCTATAAAGAATATTTATTCAATCAATGATGAATTTTTAAAGTTAAAGGCTCAAGCTTTTAGATGCAGCCTTTACAATTTAATTCAACCAGCTGGTCAGAATCCCTTTGTTTGGGATGAAAGAGCAATTCGAGCTTTTAAAGAATTTGTAGATAATGCCTGGGAAGATAATCTCGAGTTGAAATGCACAATTTTTGCCCTTGCAGCAATAAATAATAAGGAACTCTTTAATGTGGTAGACTTACTAACTCCTTTTCAAAGTGCTTGTCGCTACCTAACAGAAATTGGGTTTGCAAGACAAGTTGGACTTCAGAAACCTCTAGCATCCTCCATGCAGCTCCATTCCTACTACTATTCCACACATGACATCAAAATTGGAAGCGAAGAAGCTGTTTTTGTAACACATGTTGATGGACCTTGGACCTTTTATTGCCAGCTTGCACGGAGCTCAGGTGTGCTAGAGCAGCTGTCAAGTGATATTTTTCGATTAAGCAAAGTCTTACAACATTCAAAAACATCTTCATTAAACCCTGGAATCTTGTGCCTTGCAAAATATAGTGACCAGAATTGGTATAGAGGAATAGTTACAGGCAAAGAACCAAACAAAGTTTTCTTTGTTGACTTTGGGAATATTCATGTGGTTACAGATGAAGACTTGCTTCCCATCCCAGGTGATGCTTATGATCTCTTACTTTTGCCCATGCAAGCTGTGAAATGTTCTTTGTCTGATGTTTATGATAATACTCCTAAAGAAATTGCAGGTTGGTTTGAAGAGGCTGTACTAGACAAATCGCTGAAGGCTTTAGTTGTAGCAAAAGATCCAGATGGAAGGTTGATTATTGAATTGTATGATGGTAGTGTTCAGATTAATGCTAAAATAAATGAGAAGTTGGGTTTACTAGGTTACAAAGGGCCAAAGAAAGTAGAAAATGAAGAGTTGCTCTCTTTAGCTGAAACCCTTAGAGAAGTAAAAAGTGAAAATAAGAAATTACTTGCTGGATATTCCAGCAAAACAGCAAACAAATTATGCATATCAGAGATCCAGGGAGAATCATGCAAACCTAAAATCAGTTTAGCATGTAAGGAATTAAAAAACTTACAAAGTTCTACCAAGATAGGCTTGTTAACTAGTTATCAGGAATCTGTGAGAAGTCAAAATTATCAAATGTCCCACCCACCTGATAAAACAGGAGAGAATTCTGTTCAGCCTTCTGCAGAAGTCTTAGAGAGAAATAAGGACTTTTCACTCAAATTTTGTGATCTACCTAAGAAGAGTATTGTGCCTGGTTTTAAAACTAAGGTATATATTTCCCATATCAATGATGTAACAGACTTTTATATTCAACTAGCCGATGATGAGGATGAACTTGCGAGTATTTCAGAGAAGTTAAATGATGATAAAATAAGACATGAAGGTTTTGTTGGACAACCTCTAGAAAAGGGAGACTTGCTGTGTGCAGTTTTCCCAGAGGATGACTTGAGGTATCGGGCTGTAGTTAAAGGGCAGTCTGGCAACCTTGTCACTGTACAATTTATAGACTATGGGAACACTTCAGTGGTCAACATTAGCAAACTAAGCAAGCTTCAGAAAGTTAACACCTTAGTTCCAGGGATGAGCATTCACTGTACCCTGGGTGGGCTTCATATCCTGCCAACTAAAAACCAATGTCAGGAGCTTTATTTTTCGGAGAGAACAGATGAGGCTCAGATAAATTGTGAATTTGTCATGAAATCTGAAGATAAGTGGGATGTTTTGCTTACGGATGAGCAGGGTGTTATATCAGACGATATGATGAGCAAGTTTATATCTAGTTCGAAATCACAAGTAGAAACTTCTGCTCAGGTAAATATAGGTACCAATCCAGAGACTCTATTAGACTCTGGTCCACCTCTTCCTCTTCCTCCTCCTCTTTTACCCCTTCTTCGTCCCCCTAAAGAGTCCCTTAAAGATCCTGACAAAACAAATTTTAAATT